CCCAGTGGTCTGTCCATTTGTCATTTCTTGTAGAATTTCCCAATATCTCTGATGACAGTCACATTGATAAAAAGCCCTCCATATATTTTATACAGTTAGTACAGGGAGGCTTAAAAAATAACAACACAACAAAATGATAAGAATAAAAGAGAACTGATGGTAATTTATTTTCATCGGGCAAATCATGGAATGGTGGCGGGGAGTTAAATTTAACTTATTCAGAATACCCCCAAAGAGCAAGAAGAAGTATATTTCAGTCTCTGTGGAGAAAAGGAAGGTAAAAAGTAGAATGAGACATTTAAACACTTGGATGGCAAAAGTAATCTGATGAAAAATAAGGAACTGGGTTAACACACGAAATATCACCAACTAAATTCAAGGATTAAGGGGAGTTTTAAAAAGTTAGACATCTCTGTTACATTTGTATAGATTAAGGGGAAATTATATAATTCCATTCAGGTTCAACTATTTTTATTTCATGCTCACATAAAAGAGTCTCTGTATTTCTTAGACCAAATACAGATAGATGGTCTCCAATTTATGACGGTTCAACTTAAGATTTTTCTGCTTTATGATGGTACAAAAGCAATATTCATTCAGTAGAAATCATACTGCAGATTTTGAATTTTAATATTTTCTGGGCCAGGGGTATGTGGTACGATACTCTGACCTGATGCCGAGGCTGCAGCTCTCAGTCGGCGCCGCAAGATCAGGAGGGTAAACAACCCATACACTTATGACCATTCTGTTTCCAGACAGCCTTCCTGTTTCTCACTTTCAGTACAGTATTCAATAAATTTCATAACATATTCAACACTTTGTTACAAAATAGGCTTTGTGTTAGTTGATTTTGCCCAACTGTAGGCTAATGTAAGTGTTCCAAGCAAGTTTAAGATAGGTGAGGCTAAACTATCATGTTTGGTAGGGTAGGTGTATTAAATGCATTTTAAAAAAATTTATTTATCTTATTTATTTTTATTTTTGGCTACATTGGGTCTTCGTTGCTGTGCGTGGGCTTTCTCTAGTTGTGGCGAGCGGTGGCTACTCTTTGTTGCGCTGCGTGGGCTTCTCATTGTGGTGGCTTCTCTTGTTTCGGAGCACGGGAGCTAGCGCACGGGCTTCAGTAGTTGTGGCACGTGGGCTCAGTAGTTGTGGCTCGCGGGCTCTAGAGCGCAGGCTCAGTAGTTGTGGCACACGGGCTTAGTTGCTCCACGGCATGTGGGATCTTCCCGGACCAGGGCTCAAACCCGTGTCCCCTGCATTGGCAGGTGGATTCGTAACCACTGCGCCACCAGGGAAGTCCCTTAAATGCCTTTTTTGATTTACGATATTTTCAACTTAACGATTGGTTTATCAGGATATAATCCCATTGTAAATTGAGGAAGATTTGTAATTACGTTCCAATTTTATTTCTTTTTTAAGATTTTTTTTTTTTTTTTTGCGGTACGCGGGCCTCTCACTGCTGTGGTCTCTCCCACCGCAGAGCACAGGCTCTGGACACGCAGGCCCAGTGGCCACGGCCCACAGGCCCTGCCTCTCCGTGGCACGCGGGACCCCCCAGACCGGGGCACGAACCCACGTCCCCTGCATCGGCAGGCGGACTCTCGACCACTGCACCATCAGGGAAGCCCTAAGATTTTTTTTTGATGTGGACTATTTTTAAAGTCTTTATTGAATTTGTTACAATATTGCTTCTGTTTTATGTTTTGGTTTTTTGGCCGAAAGGCATGTGGGATCTTAGCTCCCTGACCAGGGACTAAACCCGCAGCCCCTGTGTTGGAAGGCAAAGTCTTAACCACTGGACCACCAGGGAAGTCCCTGCATTCCAGTTTTAGAACTCAAATTTTACAGAAAACATTTCTTAACAGTTTTATATAGGTGTAGTGATTCAATCTATGGGGGGGGCTATAGGTGGTGTTGAAGTGATGATGGGGGTGATGGTGGTGGTGTGTGTTTATGTGTGTATACACACCAGAAAAAGAGGAGATTAGCATTGACTGACTGACTGATTCATGGGCTAAGAAAGAAGGGAGAAACAGATGACTCCTGGAAGTACAACCACAAAGAACAGAAATGAGCAGCCTTCCTTCCACATAATTTCTGTTCTTGTATATCCTTATTACTCTGTCATCTACTAATCTCTCTCTAGGTTCCCAGATTCTTTCCTATTATAGGTTTACAGGTATGTATGTATCATAGGGATACAAGAGCAAGGTTATAATCCTTATCACTTAAATAAATCAGAGAAGAAAAAATAGGACAAGTGAGGGCATAGAGAAAATACAGGAGTTGAGAGAAATGATACATATTCTATAGAACTCTTTTGAGGATTCAAGAGATTATATATCTGTATGTATATAACTATATATAACTGAAGATGAATTAAGTTAGTGATTACTTGACATGTTTTTCTTCTTTCATTCTTATTCCAACATCCGAAAAACTTTCAAGTGAAAGAATAAGCCAAAATGTATAGATTTAGTGGTGGCTGACCATAGCTAAGTCGAACACAAGGAAGCTATTCAGCAATTATTTCTTTCTGATACCCCCTCCTCTATTCTCCCATGTACATTGTCCAAACCTCTGTTAGACTATCATCATGACAATTATAATCTTGTCACCATTGTGCTATTAATATTCTCATTTTCCCTTTTAATTGAATGCATTTAAAATCTCCATCTTATTACCTCTGTAGGGTGCTTGCTTCTAAAACAGAGCTGGAAAAGTAAAGGTGCATAGTAAATGTTTGGTTAATTGACTTAAATTTCTAGAAAGTAATTTATACCCTGAATATGCTATCCTTCAGAGCATAAGAAATTTATTCTACTGTTATAAGGTGCAGCATATATAATTTTATTAAGTAATAACAGTGAGATACACAGTATTTAATACATTTCTTAAACAATTTATGATTTACCATCTCTTGGGAGATGTGTTATTAATAGATTTGTCACACTCAGAAGATCAGGAGAAAAAGTTGGGTGAAGAGACTTGAAGGAGAAAAGAGAAGTTACAGGACTAAAATTGTGGCTATTATTGGCATATGGACTCTCACCTCTTCACTGAACTCAAAGGACACTCCATTCTCCTGGAGAGTTATATGTAACTCTGGATGGTCAGATAATTACCTGTTAAATAGTGAATGAAAATTGTCAGGGGGTGACTGAAAATGCAAGTCATTTACATTCCTCAGGAGAATTTGCAAAGTAGTTCTGCAGCTCAAAGTAGTTTAAAGGAAAGTGGGTTGAAGGGTCATTGAAGAGAGATGCAACTGATAAAGGTTGATTGGAATTTCTTGTCATATTAGCCAGCTAATGATGTATTTAAATTATCCTGAAGGCTTTTTCATTATACTTTACTGTTCAGAATTTAACTCTTTTCGTTTGAAAGTCCTAGATAAATTTTTCAGACTCAAAGATGAATAATTCAAATGCTTAGACCTACATACAAGATGAAAAGAGAAGGGTGCTATATTGGCCACAAACTGAGGAAGTCAGTAAGATAAGCCCTTTCTTACAGAAAACTGCTTCAGTAGTTATCATTGGGAAAGAGCATAGCATTTGGGTTGAGGGGAGTAAGGGGGCTTTATCACTTTACATTGAATTTTTGGAAAGATTTTAGAAGAAATATAGATTATCTTGTAATAAAACATTTTTGAATAATTTGTTGATGTTTATTATTGCTTAGTAATTTGGGGCTTAGAGTTAGAAGTCATAAAATTTATAGGATATATCCTCTAAAAAATTAATCCTGAGACTGTCCTGCAAGACATGAAATAAAATTCAGGTAAGTATTTTTATTCAACGTTCCACAGATCTTCTAACATGTATTTCCCATTCCTTATTAATATAGACAATTATTTAAGATTAAGAACATGTTACCAATTCATTTAAAATCATATTTTAGAGCAACTTTTAAATAACCTCTGTTATGTTCCTCACCAATCCGTAACTATTACTTTGTTATAGCATCCTACTTATAATTTAAAAACATGCATCCTGGTAGACTGTGTCCTACATTGGGACCAGCTACTTGGCACTTAATGAGCTACCATAAATAATACCTCCTAGAAATTATGTGTGTGACTGCCAGCTTTTGCAAGATGCTGATTCCATGCTTCCCCTTGGGTTTTATCTTCTTTCACTTAAAGATGTTCTTTCCTTCCAGGTAGATTAGAAGAGATAGAAAGCATGTGTGTGTTTGGAAGTAGAGTATATGGTCTCCGGACCCACAGCATTACCTGGAAACGTATTAGAACTGTCAGTCCTCAGGCCCCACCCCAGACCTGCTGAAAACCTTGGGGGCGGCCCCAGCAATCTGTGTTATCAAGCTTTTCAGGGGATTTTGATGCACACTGGAGTTTGAGAACCGCTGAATTATATTCCATGCTTAGCTTTTCTTTTTCTTTTCCTTTTCTTAAAGAAGATGGCCCTTCTCCACTCATCTTAATTTTTTTTCTTCTTTTTTTAGTTAATTTTGGGGTGGCTGCATTGGGTCTTTGTTGCTGCGTGTGGGCTTCCTCTAGTTGCGGCGAGCGGGGGCTACTCTTCATTGTAGTGCGCAGGCTTCTCATTGCGTTGGCCTCTCTTGTTCTGGAGCACGGGCTGTAGGCACACAGGCTTCAGTAGTCGTGGCACACGGGCTTAGTTGCTCTGTGGCATGTGGGATCTTCCCGGACCAGGGCTCGAACCCGTGTCCCCTGCATTGGCAGGTGGATTCTTAACCACTGCGCCACCAGGGAAATCCTTCTTAACAGTTATTAAAAGTCCCAGAGCTACACATGAAACCATTCTCCTCAAATTGATTGTTCATTCAGCCTCAGCCCCTAAGTGCCTCTGTTCTAGAGCCTCAAGAGTCATTTTCTTGAATAGCCTACATCCCTAATGAGGAGAACATTTTGCAAAGTATAGAAATAAAAGATTTCAAAGGTTTAAGCAGCCCTCATTACAGTATGCATAGTTAACAATACATATCTCATTTTCTGTTTTGAACAGAAAATTAAACTTGAGAGGCTTCAAAAAAGAAGGAGAAGAAATGAAAGGAAGGGGAAGGAGAAAGAGGAGGTAGAGAAGAAGGAGAAGAGGAAGAAGAGGAAGAGGTATTAAAAGAGAAACACTTCCATCTTACTTGAAAAGATTGAAGGAATCAGAATGTTTACTCTAGATTTTAAAAATTAAAATGGTTCGATTGCTTTTTCTCTAAATCTGGAGAAATTGAATAAAATAAATTTAAATCTAGATTTCAAAAGCATGATCAAATGAGATTTTTTTTACAAATATTCTTATAGAAATAACTTTTTACTAGTACAGCTTACAGAGTCAGTTTGTAATTGTTACAAATTTTTGAGAAGTGGCTGGAGAGAATCACTTTAATTTTCAAGTAACACACAGCCAGCAAACACCCCTGGAAATATAACTTGGGAGGAAGGAATGCTACCTCTTTAAGAGCACAATGGAAAGTTAGCACCTGCTGAGTGGGAAAAGCTAATCACTGAACTTTTTTAATTCATTTTTTTCTTTCTCTGTAGAAAGAGCCTAAGTAGCTTTCTGCTTCTTCCTTCAGGTTATTGCTTGGAAAGGAAAATGTAGACTCCAAAAAAACCTGAAAACTTTGGGGAATGATTTCAGCAATGGATCCTGAAAGGGCAGGCACAGGTAAGATTCCTCATCTGAGTTCTCGGGCTTTAGTGTAGGTAAGAATCCAACTTTGGACAGTATCAAAATTCTGATTCCAGGTCCCCCCTCCCATTAGACTTGCAAGGTATACCAATTCAGCAAGTCTGGGGCATGGCCCAGTAATTTGCATTTTTAACAAATATACTGAGATGGTTCTGATAAGATGGTAAAAAGTCTACACTTTGAGAAAAACTGGCCATCATCTGATGTTTCCATAGGCCACAGAAATAAGATGTAAGTGTAATTAGATGTAGTAGATGGTGGGTTCGAAATGCTTAAGCCAGGATTTTCAAAAAAAAATTTTTCTTAGAACATTAGTTCTGGAATGTCCTGGGATTGGTGCTCTAAAAGCAAAGCATTCCATGGTCACATATGTTAAGAAAATGCTGCATTTTAAATCTTCCCTTTGGAAATTTGATTCACGAAGTCCATTAGAACACTAAAATCCCCTGAGACATTTCTCAATTTACAAACAAGGTTTAGATCTTACTTAATAGTTAAACAAACTTTTTTACAAGGGATTTTTTTTTTTTCTCTATAAAATTTAGTGACATTTCTCCAGAAGAGTTTTTCAATCACACTTGTTTGGAACAGACTGCGTCAAACTGTAAAATTCTATTCTGTTCTGTTGGAAATAGAAAAAATATTTTTTGGTGTTGGATAGTGTCAAAGATAAGCAAAGCTGGACACTAGTTATAGTGGTAAGGACAGATTTTAATCAGTAACATAGTTTTGCAATAGGAAAAAGGATCCAGCAGGAACAAAATTCAACTTTGATTTGTACAGAGGTGACTGAGCATTTTGTTTTAAGATTATTTATTTATTTATTTATTTTATTATTTTTGGCTCCATCGTGGTCTTAGTTGCCACCTGCGGGATCTTCGTTGAGGCATGCGGGCTTCTCTCTAGTTGTGGCGCACAAGCTCAGTAGTTGTGGTGTGTGGGCATAGTTGCCCTGCGGCATCTTAGTTCCCCAACCAGGGATCGAACACGCGTCCCCTTTATTGTAAGGCAGATTCTTTACTACTGGACCACCAGGGAAGTCCTGTGATCGAGCATTTTAAAGGGGAGATGAGGGAGTAAGGGGGTTGGCATTCAGTCAGTGAAGTTTAGAAGTGAAAAATTACAAAATGCTGGGAGGGGTTGGTCCATGAGAAGCTCATCTGGGTTTGCTACCTGGTGCTTATTGAAGTTGGGCTCCCACCCACCACACAGACTGGGAGACAGGAACCCTATCTTCAGGTGTTGTCTGGAACAAAAAGTAAATTAGTTTAGTAGCCTTGAGTTTTCTCAGGTAGGCATTTCAAGGAGGGCTAGGGATCCTCCTAGGGATACAGTCACGAGCTGTTAGAAATTAAGTTAGTATTTGTTCAAGTGTTTGTGTTTATTTACATGTTTGTTCAAGGCCAAGTTTGAGGCCTAGTGGAGGAGTGGGCTCAGAGGAGCCTGGCTAGATCAAGGAATAAGTCTTTGTCAGAAGTAAGTGGGAAGAAAGTAGAACAATTTTAGGCTCAAAGCCAAATCAGGAAGTTTTCTAACCTCCCCATCAAAAACAGAGTCGGATAAGTTCTCCCCACGGCATCATCTTGGAGTACCACATAATGCAAAACAGTGGGCACTCTGATGAAAGAACAAAGCTGCATAGTCAGGAAAACATTAACAAAAGCTAATTATAGATTAAGAACAGTAACAGCAATAACTGGTATTTTGAGCAAACACAACTCATAGTGTGTAATCAGAATACTTTTATTGACTGTAATGTTCCATTGACAGTTTATGCAGTTGGGTAAGATTTAACCTGTGCAACTGGAAGACTCTGGAAAGCCTCATGCCTTTTCTGATCACTCTTTAATAGTAGAAGTATTAGACACAGTCACAATTCATTAATTCGCAAATGATATATCTGAGAAGTGGTTAATATCCAAAGTATCAAAGAACTCATACAGCTCAATATCAAAAAATGCAGCAACCCCATTAAAAAATGGGCACAGGACCTGAATAGACACCTCCCCCACACACACCAAGAAGACATACAGATGGCCAACAGGTACATGAAAAGATGCTTAACATCACTAATCATCAGGGAAATGCAAATCAAAATCACAATGAATGGCATCAAAAAGACAGTAAATAGCAAGTATTGGCAAGGATGTGGAGAAAAGGTAACCCTCCTGCACTGTTGATGGGAATCTAAATTGATACAGCCACGATGGAAAACAGTATGGCAGTTCCCCCCGAAATTAAAAATAGAACTATGACATGATCCATCAATTCCATTACTATGTATTTATCCAAAGAAAATGAAGACACTAGTTCAAAAAAATATAGGCATCCCTATGTTCACTGCAGCATTATTTATAATCGCCAACACATGGAAGCAATGTAAGTGTCCATCCGTGGATGAATGGATAAAGAAGAGGTGGTATACACACACACACACACACACACACACACAGAAACACATATACAGGAATATTATTCAGCCATAAAAAGAGTAAAATGTTGCCATTTGAGACCATATGGATGGACCTCGAGGGCATTACGCTAAGTGAAACAAGTCAGAGAAAAACCAATACCATATGACCTCTCTTAAATTAAAAAACAAAACAAAACAAAATAAATACCAAGCTACCATATACAGAGAACAGTTTGGTGGTTGCCCCCAGGTGAGGTTGGGGGTGAGAGATATGGGGGAAGGGTGTCAAAAGATAAAAAGAAGAAGTTAAAAACAACAGTTCTCGCTTGGGCAGCACATATACTGAAATTGGAGCAGCACGGAGCAGGTTAGCATGGGCCCCACACAAGCATGGCGTGCAGATTTGTGAAGTATTACACGTTGAAAAGAAAGGAACAGTGGTTTCCAGGAATTGGAGGAAAAGAGAAATGGGGAGTTATTATTTAATGGGTGTCGGGTTTCAGTTTTGCAAGATGGAAGGAGCTCTGGAGATGGATGGTGGTGGTGACGGTCGCACAGCAATATGAATGTTTTTATATCGCTGACCTGTACATTTAAAAATGGTGAAAATGATAAATTTTGTTACATATATTTTACCACAATAAAAAAATAACACCAGCAATTTAAAAAAGAAACAGAGGACCAAGTATATAGATATTGGTTTTAGCCTCTTTGTCTTGTGGGTGCTTCTCTCGGTTTGTTGGGGCGCACCTGAGTGACCCCTCTCTGACTGGGGCTTTCAGTCACTTGGCAGTGCTTTCTTTCCCTTTGGTCTTGGTCCTCCTTGGCCCAGCCCCTCTAAGACTTGCTCTGTTGGATTCCCATTGACCTCCCAAGTGAATCCCTTGGATAAAAATCAAAACCACTCTGGTCTTAGTTTCTCCCCCATTTGGCCCACATCAAGTTCACAGAAGTACTCTCTTGTCCTTTAGCTTGTTAAGTTCTGGGGGTGGAGACAGATCTCGAAACAACTACTGCTTTGCTGCCAAAGCAGCTTTCTGGTTTCTCAGGACCCCTAGATTTCCTGGGCACTTGTCAACCAGTCCACTCTGTCTGCCCTTCTTCTAACAAGTTTTCCATTTGGCCCTGCAGAAGCTCTGCTTTTTAAACTTGAAATACGGTAGGTGGTACCTCCCTTCCCTTTGGGTGGGTAGGTGGCAGAACTTAAAGCACAGGGCGTGCTCTCTCCCAAGTGGAATTGCCAGATAAAATACAGGATGCCCAGTTACATTTGAATTTCAGATAAACAACAAATACTGTTTTAGTACAGGTATGTCCCATGAAGTATTTCAGACATAGTTCTATGAAAAAGTTATTTGTTTTTTATCTGAAATTCAAAGGTAACTGAGTAACCTGTATTTTCACTTGCTAATTCTGACCACCCTACACCCAAGAAACCTCTTCTCAAATCTTTCCCTTCCATATCACTCTTCAGTGTTAATATCCTCTAAGAGTGGGTGATAGGTTTTAAAAGATGTGAAACTCATTCTCTGGATTTCTTGACTCGCTTTCGTTGAGTACCTTACTGGAGAATTCTCGGTCTATCGCGTGCTGGTGCATCAGCTGGAAGATAATTTAACAACTTCTCACATTATTAGCAGCAGGCATTTTGCAGAGCTTTGGAGATGGCAAACCTTTGTAGAAATACTCTGGATATTCTAAGTAAACTGAGCAGTCACACAGAGAGACTATTTGAAATAGTCATAGGGCTCTGACACAAAGAATTAGTGTCCAAGTAACAGCAGCCTAGCATAAGGACAGCATGGTACGCAAAGAAGTAAATCAGCAGATGTTAAAATGAAAAAAAAAAAAAAAAAAGATGAGGGTTATAGAGCACACAGGAGCAGAGAGCTCTGTAAGCTAAGAGTTGCTACCATTTCCTTAAGGAAAATTAAAATCAGTATAAGAACATTGAACATCTACAATTTTTTCATATTAAGGTAATTTAATTTTATTTCCATTATGAATTATTAGTCATTTCTAATAGATCCTTTTTGTTGTTTCATAAAAAAACAAGTTAAAAAGCTCCTGCAGGTACTATTACGGATCTATATCTGGACCTGAACAGAGCAATCTACACCTTACGGACTGTAGTGTTATATGGGCTCGTTTCAGTTGGTGAAATTGTTTAAGGACCTCTGATACCAAATTGAGGTAATATGCTTAGTATGAACTCGCAGAAAGGATCTGACTCCAAGAAAGAATTCTGGTTTTGTTAGAAAATAAGACTCTTTGGGGAATTATGAAAAGATGGTGACCTATACACATAGGTCATTTAATACATTTACCAGTTCTTTGGGGATGGTTTTCTAGAGGTATGATTGCTGGGTGAAAGGGTAAATGCATGTGAAACTATACTAAATGTTGTCAAATTCTACTCCATAGCTGTTGAAATGTATGAGTGCCTGTTTTCCTATTCTCACAACACAGCATATGGTAAGACTTTGGATTTTAGTCGGTCTTACAATTTGTTCGAGTCTACTTTTGTATATTTATGCTTAAATTATTTATTTTATCTTTTTCC